GCAGCAGCAGCAGCTGCTGCAGCACCAGCTCATAGAACAGCAGAACGCGCAGACGCCTGTCGAAGGCAAAAAGCAAATGCAGCAGCAGAAACAGCAGGGACAAAAGGTGGTGCAGCAGCAGCAGCAACAGCAGCAGCAGCAGCAGCAGCAGCAGCAGCAGCAGCCCCTGTACCAGCAGCAACGAATGATCCAGGAGCTGCAGGTCCGTATGCAGCAAGACGCATGCGATCAGATGCAGCAGCACCTGCAGCAGCACCAACAGCATCAGCAGCAGCAACAGCAGCAGCAGCAGCTGCTGCATGCAGCAGCTCGTATCCGCAGTCAAACACCCAACCCCAGCAGCAGCAGCAGCAGCAGCAGCAGCAGCAGCATGAAGCAGCAAGCGTTTGTCTATGGGGCTGCCAGGCGGAGATCCGCTACACCGGGGCTGTTCTCAGCGAGTTCCCCTTCTGCTGCAGCAGCAACACAGCAGCAACAGCAGCAGCAGCAGCAGCAGCAAGCTGTTTTTGTACAGCACGCACCCGCTTCTGCTGCTGCAGCAGCAGCAGCAGCAGCAGCAGCAGCAGCAGCTTCAAGCAGAGGCAGCGCGGGGCATGTTGTGGTGCAGCAGGAGGTGAAGGCTCAGGTTCTGGACATGGTTGCTGCTGCAGCACTAGCAAGAAGCACGGGCAGTGCAGCAGCAGCAGCAGCAGCAGCAGCAGCAGCAAANTTGCTGCTGCAGCACTAGCAAGAAGCACGGGCAGTGCAGCAGCAGCAGCAGCAGCAGCAGCAGCAGCAAAACCTTTGCCTGTACAACTGACACGGCTCAGACCCTACTTAGTCCCCATAGATATATACATACCCAAGCTAGTGCATGTGCCTCTGCATGTGCTGCAGCAGCAAGTGCGATACGAAGCTGCTGCAGCAGCAGCAGCAGCACCCACAGCAGCAGCAGCAGCAGCAGCAGCAGGAGCAGGAGTAGGAACGCCGTCAGAACAAACACCGTACAAACAACAACAACAGCAGCAGCAGCAGCAGCAGCAGCAGCAGCAGCAGCTGCAGCAGCAGCAGCAGCAGCAGCTGCAGCAGCAGCAGCGAGAACTCGAAGCCTTCAACCAGCAGCAGCACAAACACTTTGCTGCTATGCTGCAGCGCGCGAGGCAGCAAGCAGCAATATGTGGGGCCCAGACCCTGCCCCTGGAGCAGCTGCTGCAGCACCAGCAGCAGCTGCTGCAGCAGCAGCTGCTGCAGCAGCAGCCCCAGCAGCAGCTGCTGCAACACCAGCTGCTGCAGCAGCAAGCAACGTCCCGCTAGTCGGCTGCTTCGTAGGCAGTCTTCATCTCCTCTCCGTCCACAAACCCTAAACCCTAAACCCTAAACCCCAAACCCTAAACCCTAAACCCTAAACCCTAAACCCTAAACCCGCGGGATATGCAAACGATCAGCCGTTAAGGCAGGACACAGTCCAGCAGCGGCTGCTGCTGCAGCTGCTGCAGCAACTGCAGCAGCAGCAGCAACTGCAGCAGCAGCAGCAACTGCAGCAGCTGCTGCAAAAGTAGCAACTGCAGCAGCAGCATTCAAGCTGCCGCGCTGCCGCTTAGACGCGAGCAGCAGCTTGTGCTGCTGATTGCTGCTACTGTTCTTTTTGTTGCTGCTGCAGTTTCTGCTGTTGCTGCTGTTGCTGCAGCAGCAGCAGCAGCAGCAAGTGTTTTCTCCCCGTACAGCTCGCGTGCTGCTGCAGCTCTCTGCATAA